CTGAAGGTGGAAAGTCTGCCTGTGCTCTTTAGAGGAAGCCACACGGCGGACGGCACCTGAGAGCATCAGAAAACCCAAGCCCCCTGGACGGTCAATCCAAAGCCAAATTGACGAAGTACATGGATGCTGTTAAACGTTTCCTTTAAAAGGTCTGAAGGAGAAAGACAAGGACTGCTGAAAAAGCTCAGCAAAGAAAATCCAGTGAATCACTTACGGTTCGAATGAATGGTCTCCAAACTGAATAAGCATCTTTGTGGTCTGAGAATGCAGCTTGAGAACGAGATGCCAAAATCCAAATGCTGCCTTCTCTGCATTAGAACATGTGATGCAGATTTGCAGAAAATCAGCCAAGGGAATCTACTGCTTAGTAATTGAGAACTTCTTAAAACATGTGAACACATCAGCCTATACATTAGTGTAACTCCTGCAGAAAGATGGCCTTGAGATGTGGAAATTAGCCCTTTCTTCTCTCAAAGTTGGGTTATCTCCCATGAGGAGAAAAGCTCAAAGACGTAGCAGAAGCTTTGACTAAAGAGAAGGCTCACTGAACTAGGAAAATGATCACAACAGACACATTGGTTGAAGCAGCCAGGGCATGGTGGCGCATGCCTGTCATAGCAGCACTTTGGGAGGCTGAGGCGCGAGGACTGCTTGAGCCCAGGAACTTGAGACCAGCCTGGGCCACGTAATGAAACCTCACTTCTACAGAAAATTTAGAAAGATGGATTGAAGCAGAGGTCAAATTCCAGGTTTTCCTGAGTGGCTCGAGTGTTCCAAATGCACCCTCAGGCAGGGACCCAAGTATCAGGGGGTCCCCTGTATCATTAGTTCCGAGGGGGAGGGGCAAGCTGTGAGGGCACAGGCATTTGTGTCACCAGGTGTGAGTCGGGCTCACAGCACATGGCTCTTGAATATGCACCGGGGGACATCTCTGCTCTCTCTTTTTTCTGAGCCTGAGTCCCGCTCTGTCGCCCAGGCTGGAGGGCAGTGGCATGCTCACGGCCACCGCAGCCTCAATCTGCTTGGGCTCCGGCGACCCTTCCTCCTCAGTCTTCCAAGGAGCTGGAACTACAGGCACACGCCACCATGCCCGGCTAATTTTTTTGTTGTAGAAACGAGGTCTCGCCAAGTTGCCCGGGCTGTTCTCGAACCCCTGGGCTCAGGCAATTCTCTCGCCTCAGCTTTCCAAATGGTTGGGGTGACAGGCGTGAGTCACCACACCTGGCCTGTTTTTGCTCTTTAAAAATAATTTACTCTCTTTTTAGTTTAAATGCTTTTTAATTGATGCTATATTTGCTCAAATTGAAGTTTGATCTAATTATCCCTAAGTCAGTGCTTTATGGTCCTAAACCGTTCTAATAAAATTCTTATGACTATTAGACTATTTTCATTAGACCCTCACATTTAGACCCACATAAGTATTGCATTTAGTTTGAACTGAATCTTTTGAATGGTCCACTATTACTTAAACCTTAGTTGAAGTTTTTATGAGCAGGAAGAGACCAAAGTCAATACAGGCCATTTATATATGCTATCAAGTGTTAGAAGAAATCTGAAGAAAAATAATGTTTACTTCAATAAATTTGAGTCTAAAAACAAGAACCCCATAAAAAACAAAGTAAGGCAACAATATCCCATACTCAACCTATTAGTATTTTTCAGTTTAGCACTAAATTTGGGTGAGGTAATGCTTTGTGCATGATATTCTGTGCTGTTTAAATGTTTCTAAATTTTTGCAAACAAAAGCTTTCCTTTTTTAAAAAAAAAAAAAAACCTTTCTCAAAACAAAAACACAAACAAACCACTTTCCTCTAAGCTCAATTTAAAGTTTCTCTTTTCTTGTGGCTAGCATTACTAGACATCTGGTCACTGCCAAATGTCAGGTCTTCACCTGGCCTGTCTCTAGTCAGGTGAATAACAGCAGCTACTGTTGATGAGGTATTTACGATGTGGTAGGCACTCAGCCAAGTATTTTGCTTGAATTCTCATCAAATCCTCATGGAAATTCAGCAAGGTAACTCAATCATCCCCGTTTTACAAGTGTTATCATTGCTTCAAAAGTTTGTAATCCCAGCACTTTGGGAGGTCGAGGCAAGAGAACTGCCTGAGTTCGGGGGCTTCAGACCCGCCTGGGCAACTTGGTGAGACCTTGTCTCTACAATAAATCACAAAAACTAGCAGAGTGTGGTGTGCGCCTGTAGTTCCAGCTACTTGGAAGGCTGAGGTGGAAGGATCGCCTGAGCCCAGCAGGTCGAGGCTGCGGTGGCCGTCAGTGTGCCACTGCATTCCAGCCTGGGCGACAAGAGTGAGACTCCAACTCAAAAAAAAAACCTTCAGGGGTTCCAACTACATTCAGGACTTTGCGAGTCCTCTATCAGCCGCCTTTTCTCTCTCTAATCATTCCCCCTGGTCCTCCTAACCTGTTGCATTCCGCTCCAGGCCAATTGTTTCCTGTGTGTTCCCATGCTGTCCTGAGACAGTCCTTGCAGCCCTGCTCTACACCTACTTTGTCATTGCACAAACGCCACCCCCAACAGAAGCCTCCTTTGGTGCTTCCCTGCTGAACTGTGACTGTTCTCTAACCCTCTGACATCTGCTCTTATTGCTCTGTTCTCTTATTATTTGTTGTATTGAAGTCAGGATGGGATGTGACTGTTCCTCCAACATCTGCATTGTATAGGAGCATGAATTGACAGCCCTGGTAGGGCTGTAATTTGAATTTATGTTGATAATTACTTTAAGAATGGCGTTTTACATACATAAAGCACACTTTTCATTCTCCAGCACTTCTTTTTATGTCACTTTTTAGCTCTCAAGTTTTTCACAGTTCAGATCTTTCTCTCCAAGAACTTTCTAAACTACACCATGCCCTTCAGCTTTTCCAAGCATCAAGCACTGCTGTGCACAGTAACTGCTTGCGGAATAAATGAGTAAGCATAACTGGAGTTGATGACAGCACTATAGGGACAATAAGGCTTCAGGCTTAGGTGACGGCAGAACAACGTCTAGAATTACTTAAGATGAACTGTTTGTCATTCCTAAGTTATAGTAACTGAATAACTAAGATCCCATCAAATTTTGTAGATCGCTTTCCGAACGTGCTGCCTTCAAGCTTTTAATGTTAAGAATTTCTAAATTTACTCTTTCTCTAGTTGAAGCTGTAGTGGGTCAAGCATTTTCATTGATCTTAGTGATGATATTACAGCGATCACCAATAACCAAGCTATTGATGTCAACTAATTGTTAAATACACCAGTAAAATTTTAGGCTGGAATGGGAACAGAGGAGACCCAAACAGCTACTTAGTATTATAAAAGGTAAAGTCAGACATACATATATCAAGCACCATCATAGGAAATGAGAGGAACGAGAAGTGCTGATACACCAAAAGGAAGTATGTTATTTTAGTATGTTTGGCTTCAAATTTTGAATGATATGAATACAGAAATCCAGATGACCTGATTCTATACCAAGTGTGGAAACATCACCCCTCTAAGCACCATGAACCCTTTCAGGTAGCACTGTGGTGACATTTCTTCCTTTACAGACACGTTTGCCTTTACAGATGACCTTTAAAGACTGCTTAATCGAACCCTGAACATTCACCCTAGCACCATAAAAAAGGGACTGGCAGTAGCCGGAAACTGCTAGGGGAGGAGACACATAACATCAGTAAGGGTACCTGACCTCAAACGAGGTGAAGTGGGGACCAAAGGGAGGCCCAAACTTTACCTGTACAATGACCACTTGTATACCTAATCCTGAATTGCACCCCACATCTTTAAAATGAAAAAAAAAAAAGTTTAGTAATAAGAGCACAAAGAACTGAAGAATTTAACTCTGCACTCCAGCCAAGGCCCCAGCAACCCACATGTCCTACAAAACTGGAGGCAAAGGCATTTGGCTTTTTGAAGAATCTATAAATTCATCAACTTAAATTTCCAGTTTAAAGAAATGGAGTATTAGTTTTAAAAAGTCAAACAGAACTTAAATCAGAAGTTACTGAGATTTGCTAGGCATTTAATCAACAAATATTATGTATACGAACGCTGTGTGCCAGTTGCTGGGGCGATCATAATGACGGAAAAGGCCCCTGTTTGTAAGAAGAGTGACAGGCATTAAACAGTTTCAAACAAGTCATTAACAGCAGTTGTGTAGGAGTGTTAGATCCTTCTCAATCTATGAGTGACCGGGCAATATCACGATGCTAGCTTGGTTATGGCAGAGAGAGAGTTATGTCACACAAGTCAAAGAGGACACCTGGGAAGACTCTGAAGTGTCTTGAACTTTCTAGAAACTAAAGGAAAACCAGAGTGGGTGACTTAAGGAGAGAACAGGTTGCAACGAAGCTGGAGAGGCAGGCAGGAGCAGACTGATGTGCTTTTGAAGATGCAAGGGGGGCTTTATCCTACAGACTCACCAGACCACAAAGAGCTTTGAAGATCACATCAGGGTTTTGGGTTTAGGAGTTAGACGAGAAGCAGTAATTAGTTTAGGCCCTTCACTGGGATGAAAGCTGGGCCACAGGTAATCAGTAAACGGGTTTCTTAAAGTGGCTTAGAGAGTTCTTTTTGAGACAAAAGGTGAACAGCTTCAGCTTATTTGGTTTTAAGAGCTGAGTAGGTAAACGCATTCATTCACTGAGCAGCCACCACCTGTGTGCAACATGACGCACCTCAAATGCCACCCACTCCCCCAAAATCCAAGGGCTTTCTTACCTGAGTGGAAAAGGGAAAGGGCGACGGAGATCACCCTTTGGTGCTCCTGCTCGGCAAAGGTACTGTCTTGGAGTACACAGGTCTTTGAGAACCATCAGCAGCTTTGCAGGAATCCTTTCACTACTTTTTGGCGTGATTAATCTCACAGGAATCCTCAGGTCTGCTCTGTGGCCATTTTCAGCCCCAGACGGGAACTGCACATAGTCTAACAACAGTGTAAGTGGAATGGGTCTGAGTCACAACCAGTGTCTCAAGGTAACGGATGTGAAGATTCAATCAATATAAAATCTACCTTTTATTTAAAACAAGGCATATTCCAAAATAGTCACAAAGTCAAATCCTGAGAGTCAGCGAGCCATAAAATTTGCTTTACAATAAGATTTAAGTAATTGCTCCCTCACTGGAAAAAAAGCAAAGAGCACTTATAATTAAAGGTGTCCACAAACACTTTTATTCTAAACTAAAAAAAAAAAAATCGTGTACTTAAATACCATTTTGGAAATCAGTCACTATAAACCTACACCTCAATTTAAAAAGAAATACATCTAGAGGAAACAAGGTAAAGGGTACATGAGACCTCTCTATACTATCTTTGTAACTTCCTGTGAATCTAAAATTATTTTAAAATAAAAAATCTGAAAAAACATACTTGGGGTGTATAAACAGAGACCACATATACTGACTTGAAAAAAAATCACTTGTTTTGGTCAATGAAGATCTAGCGTGAAGTTTTATAACAGAAGTGATACAGAACCATGGAAAAAGGATTTAAAGCATCAGATTCGAGTACAGGCTCTACCACCTACTAGCTGGGTAACCTTGAACACATGAGTTAAACTCTCAAGAGTACTGTGAAAATAAGATGAGACACATGAAAGTAATATTTGTAAACTATAAAGCCCTGTACAAATGCTACCTCTAATTAATTCAAATTTTCCAGCCTTAAATCCTTTTTGTGAAGGACTGTCTTCATTTACATCATGTATTCTTTCAACAGAACAAGAACACACTTTAAAAATGGTATTCAAACCAAGAGATACAGCAACTCATTTTATTACATGCAGATTATTCTGCATCGTTGCTAACAGTTCACTGGTCCAAAATTACTAAAATACTTAAAAAACTATACATTATGTAAACAAAACATAAATAAGACAGCATAGTTCTTTGTACATATATTTAGTACAGGTTGTTAGGGATTTAGGAATATGTACAATTTTACACTGTGGACTGCATTTTCACAATGCATAAATATATATATATTTTTTACAGAAACGAAAATAAGATTTCACTAATGACACAGAATACCATGTCATAGACAGGCTGCAACAGTTCAAATTCAAGAGAAAACATGTCGATGCAAGTGTGCAAAATGGCTAGCTTACTCTAAACGAGTCACACTTTGTTCAATTTATGCTACAGACAGGTAAATCCTGGCCATGTACTTTAAACAAAGAACCTCTGAAAACATTCTCATACCAATGAGCAATGAGTGAAATGGAATACATTTCTCCCTCCCTAGAAAACAAAGCTTTGTTGCAAGCGAATGTACACGCACACGCACACGCACACGCATACACACACACAACTATGTATAGCATGTTCTCAACAGTATAATAAAGTTAAAATGCTTATGAGAGTCAAAACAATGCCCCATGATTTAAAAACTGGCTCTTTTAGTCTAAATTCAAGACGCAGCTGTGTCAGGCTTCTCTAAGCCAGATGATTGGAAAACAGGGAAGACAGAGGCAGGATCTCGACCGGCAGATACAACAATCTGAGAGAGAGACGAAGAGAGTGAAGAAACCTTAGATGCTGGAGCATCTACGGTATTCAAAATGGCTCCTTCTGGGCTAACCAACAATTTTTTGACAGAGGTGTCCAACTGAAGCACTGAAGTGCTGCTTGGCAGTGGAGGGTTACTGGAACAAACGGCAGAAACCAAAGAGGCCTTGGCCAAGAGAGTAGCCGGAGGGGACTTAATTACGGACGTCAGCGATACCGCTGGTGCAGGAGGTGGAACAGAAACTTGAGCTGCTGAGTTCGCGATCTGGGGTGTT